TTTTTTATTTAGCATGAAAGTGGAATTTTATCCAGGGCTGGCCCAGAGGATAATTTCTCTTTCTGCCTAGTTTTATATGATTGAAGCTGAAACAGGAGTGGAGACTTCCTAAATACAATGAATACTATGCCAATCAGAATAGAGCTGGAAGGGACCTTGGAGTTCATCTAGTCCAGCCCCCTGGTCAAGCAGGAGACCCTATACCATTTCAGACAAAGGGCTGTCCACTCTCTTCTTAAAAACCTCCAGTGATGAAGCACCCACAACGTCTGAAGGCAACTTCTGTTCCACTGGTTAATTGTCCTCGCTGTTAGGAAGTTTCTCCTTAATTCCAGGTTGCTTCTCTCCTTGATTAGTTACCACCCATTGTTTCTTGTCTTGCCTTCTGGTGTTTTGGAAAATAGGTTGACCCCCTCTTCTTTGGGGCAGCCTCTCAAATATTGGGATACTGCTATGATGTCAACCCTAGTCCTTCTTTTCTCTAGATTAGCCATACCCAGTTCCTGCAACCCTTCTTCATATGTTTTAGTCTCCAGGCCTTTAATCATCCTAGTTGCTCTGCTCTGCACTTTTTCCAAAGTCTCAGCATTTTTTTTGTAATGTGGTGACCAAAAGTGGATGCAATATTCCAGGTGTGGTCTTACTAAGGTTTTATACAGTGATACTAATACTTCATGTGAGTTTTACCAGATACTACCTCAGCTCTTCTGTTGATCCTACCCTTTGATATGAATTATTTATTCATTGCATTTCTACCTGCTTTTCCTCTGAGGACTTCAAGAGGAATAGCTCCATTAATCTGGGACACTGCAACAGCCCTGGACATAGATTAGTCCAAGAGGTGACCAATGGCTCCAATTCAGCCACTCAAATTTTATTCCACAGCCAACCCCTTAACACCATAGACTAATTCATTCAAACTAAAAGCTTATTAATATTATTACAATTCTCACTGCTTACCATGGCCATTTTCACACCTTCCTATTACACTAGCACCTTGTCTGTTATAAGTAACTATTAAAAAATGTTGTGCAGACTTGGTAGCATTTGATGGACCCCAAAAGTTCACGATTTGGATTTCTTGTCCCAGTTGAAAACACAAGACAAAAGTTTCAACTACTGGGAACTCCAGCGATATAGAGAAACTATCCTATTAGATCAAGGGTATCCAGCCATGGCGACTTTAAGATCCGTGGACTTCAACTCCCAGAATTCCCCAGTCAGCATGGCTGGTTGGGGAATTCTAGGAGTTGAAGTCCACAGATCTTAAAATTGCCAAGGATGGATAACCCTGGATTAGATAAAAAATATCAGAATGTACAAATGAACTGACCACTGACCCCATTAAGCCTTTTAAGAGCCCAGAACCCCAAAAGATGAAATTCAAGGTTGAACCACCCCCAAGTGATCCTTCGTGGCACTGATACTTCCACATTCTCCTTTAGTCAGTGAATATTCTTGGGTGATGGAGAAGTCCTTTGGCCATCAACTATGTTGAGTGTAGAAGTACGTCCAAGACACACAGCAAAGCTGGATTGACACCGGAGAACATTTTAAATTACATGCAGCACCCTAACGGCGTTAGTTTCCAAAAAAAGCTCTTGGCTCAATAGGCGCATGACAAAGAGTACAACATGGGGTCTTTTGTGTTTAGAGCCCAAGCTAGACACGCCACTCATCGGCGTGGGAGGTGGAGGTTTCAGTCTCCAGTGTCATCGCTTTTGCACATTCCAGCTGCTGTCATATTTTTCAGCTGAGCTTTTGAAACAATCCGTTCTTCTTTCCTGCATTTGTGATGCAGCTTCTTTTTTTTTTTTTTTTAAGAAACTGCTATTTTTTTCTGGCCTCCATTCTTCTATTGTTTCCTTGATGCTTTGTCTATTTTCCTGTCAACTTCACAAGCAAAATCTCTCTGAAATCTTGACCTAGTCCATTTCATCATCGTGTGTAGTCAATTTCACGGGGAAATTGGTCCTGATTTTTTTAAAAAAAATATCTATCTATGTGGTCACTAGAAGTAAAAAAAAAAAAAAGATAGAACAATCTAGTCAATTTCACAGTACAACGCGGGCAAATTTCCTGCTTTGGTCTTCTCTGCTGAAAAAGAGCTTGCTTTGCTTTCCCCAGCAGTGATCAGAAGCAAGTAGAAAACAGGATTAGATAGTCCTCCACATACGACCACAATTGAAACTAGAATTTTGATTGCCAAGCAAGACAGTTTCATGCCTAAGGCAGACCTAGAACTCAGCCTGATGGTTTCTAGGCCAGCCAGCATCTCCACCATTACTGTGGATTTCACCTCCTTTTTTAACCCTGTTTGTTTTCCCATGAAAGGTAGGATATTCACTTTTTATTTATTTATTATATTATATATATATTATATTTATCTCAAGTTGATATTTTTTATTAGAGTTAAAGTATGTTAATATTGGATTGTATTATGTTTGGGTAGTTTTATTTAGATTTGGGATGACATGTGCATAACCCTGTATTCGGTTCTGGGAAGTCCAGGGGGGGAGGGGATCAAAGATGTAAATGTAAATTTTGGTATATTAAAATGTTATAGTGAAATAATGTATTTGAAGAAGATGAGATGCTCGGCTGGCGCCCCCAAACTGCGTCCGAAGGATGAGGAAAGGAAGGAGGTGGGATGTGTAGGGTAGTTGAGAGGAGGAAGGAGGAGAGAGGAGGAGGGGAAGTAGGCAGGAAGGGTGAAAGAGAGGGTGGACGCAGGTGGGGGGGGGCTGCTGAGCATCTCTGAATAGATATTTAATATGGAGGTTTTTCTCTTGTTTATTAATGTATACCATATTTGTAACTTGTTTGTTTATTTGAAAATTAATAAAAATTTGAATATAAAAAAAAAGAAAGGTAGGATATTCACATATTCTTAATTAAGGACAAGCATCACACACCGTCCGTCCGTGAGAATGTCTCCAAGATATCTATTCTCCTTTTAAATTATCCCCTGCCAAAGTGAATGAGAATGACCGGGGTGGGGGGGAATGAAGGATTTATCTGCCTACAAGCATTTGATCTCCTGTGGGTAAACCCTGTTTTAGGTTACTAAGCCCAAAAAGTGGTCCTGGGTCAAAATTAGCTCTGAACACACGTTTGGCAGCCCAGATGCCTTTTTTTCTCTCTCTCTCTAGAGTTGCCAATTTTTGAACTGGTCCCTGTAAGAAATTGTTATCCATCATGAATTTAATCCATCCTGATCTAACCCAGCCGTTAAGTTGTTTTGAGGCCAAATCTCTCAAAACTCAGAGCCAGAAAGGCCGACAGCTCCAGGAATTGTAATCCCAAAACATCTTGAAGGACACAAATGAGGAAGACCGGATTAATCTAAGTAAACTCAGGCTAGAGATGTAACTTTGATGTCCCGATGTGGGACATCAACATTGGACGTAATGAAGTAGATTTTCTCTCTCCGAGGACCCTTTCATTCAGCTACCACCTTCACTTCCCAAGTCCTCAGCATTGTTTGCAAATTTCCCTAAAATTATCCTTGAAATCTTGAGACTTCTACAACAATCAGTCAGGTTTCCAAAAAAGAACACCTAAATCAGGATCGGGACAGCTCCCAGCTCTCTCTTTTGGCTTCATTTATTTCTCCAGTGACCGGATATGCTCCTGTTTCAAAACTGCATCCATAGCAAATCCTTCTGTACCACATCTGAGTAAGAAGGAACTTGTTCAGATGTCTTGGAAACAAGGGTTGCAACATTGACTCAGGAGTGGTGCAAAGCAGCTGTGGGGAAGTGTCCACCGGAGCTTTGAAAGAAGGATGTTTCTACTCTCATAGAAACATACTTGCTAATTGTTTTCCAGGTTGTTAGTTTTAATTCTGAGAGCTGTAAACAGGTGGGCTCCTGTCTATTTAAGGGATTCTTCGTCACATTCCAATCTGTGTCACATCAAGAACTTCAGAAACCATATTACACTGGCTTCAGTGAAACTCATCACCAGAATATATGGAAAAGATTGATTGTTTGGCTGGCTGGCTGGCTGGCTGGATGGACCGGAGAAAGGTCCAAATCTCCGTACAGCCCTGAATCTCACTGGGGAATTTGGGCCTTTGAACTCTGGTGCTGGAGAAGACTCCTGCGAGTCCCTTGGACTGCAAGGCGTTCAAACCAGTCAGTCCTAGAAGAGATCAACCCTGACTGCTCTTTAGAAAGCCAGATCCTGAAGTTGAAACTCAAATACTTTGGCCACCTAATGAGAAGGAAGGACTCACTGGAGAAGGGCCTAATGCTGGAAAGATTGAGGGCAATAGAAGAAGAGGACGACAGAGAATGAGGTGGCTGGATGGAGTCACTGAAGCAGCAGGCCTGAACTTAAATGGACTCCAGAAGATGGTAGAGGACAGGAAGACCTGGAGGAACGTTGTCCATGGGGTCGCGATGGGTCAGACACGACTTCGCAATTAACAACAACAAACCAACCTATTCTATCTCGTAGAATAGTTGTGAGGAGACAAGGAGAAACTACCTATGTCCTTAAGGTACTTAGATGGAAGGCTGACTAGAAGGTAATGTATCCTGCCCCCAAACTCCTATTTCTTTGCTTTCAAATTTGCTGCTAGCTTTCTATATTGCTACCAAGGATCATTTGGGAAAACTACATCCTCTTCCTTCACCACCCAGCTTCAGTTGTGAACATGAATACACAATGCACAGGATCTGTTGAAAGAAGGCATTCCGCTGCTAGAAGGGACCATGAAGGTAGCAGTTAAGAACTGGACGTTCTGTGCTTCAAGCAATTCTCACTTTCTAAAAATCAACCAACTTGCTTATCTCTGAAATATAATTTGGTACTTCTAATCCCGTCTCCAGGGAGATTTGATTTTCATTCCAGCCCTACCTGGGTTTGGGCCAATCTGGAGATTGTTAATGGAACCATTCTAAGCAATTTAAACTAGGAATCACGGGTTAGGTTTGGGGAGAACAGTAGTAATTGGGGGGGGGGGAGAAACGACAGGGGTGCAGTGGACTCACGGATACAGACTCCCGGTGTGCTGCCTCTTCTGACCAGGCCTGGTATGGCTCAATTTAGGCTCTCGGGCCATGTTTATATCTAGAGACAAAGAAAAAATTGGCAACAAAGGAGAAACAGCAGAGCCAAACGAGAAGACAAGCAGGAGCGGGCAGATATGGCAAAAGAAATCGCACTTACTTCATAGTGCTTTACAGCACTCTCTACCAGTGTTTCTCAACCTTGACAATTTTAAGGCATGTGGACTTCAACTCCCAGAATTCCACAGCCAGCATTGCTGGCTGTGGAATTCTGGGAGTTGAAGTCCACATGCCTTAAAATTGTCAAGGTTGAGAAACAGTGCCTAAGCGGTTTACAGAGTCAACATATTTGCCCACAACAACCTGGGTCCTCATTTTACCAACCTAGGAAGGATGGAAGGCTGAGTCAACCTTGAGCCGGTTAGGATCGAACTGCTGGCAATCGGCAGAATTAACCTGCAATACTGCATTCTAGCCACTGCCCCACTGCGCTACCACGGCTCATGACCCTTTTGTCACCCAGATGACGAAAGTTGAAAATAAAAGGCATGACATCTTTTCAACCTGTCTGTGCTATTTATTAGCCATGGAATTGTCTGAAGATGGAATTAGACTCTGCTCTCAGAGGACTGACAGCATAGATGCAAATGTAAGCACCATTTAACACCACCACCACCCCCCCCCCGGGGAGGGCAAAGATGCTTCTTCTGAACAAAGATCGTCTTACTTCTTTCCCACCTAGCTTGCAAAGAACGAGTCAAGATTTTTTTTTTCCTGATACAGAATTATTGTTTTCTGTTTGGTGGAGAGAGAAAAGAGCCGTCTTTCTTTAGCTGCCCTAAAAATCCAAAATGCATTTCAAAGATGAAGGACCTCTTTCACCGGGAACTGTAATCAGGGCTGCTTCCTGTACTTACCTAGAGCAATGAGGATCTTAGAGCAATCAGTAGGACCTGAATTTCAGATCTGAGCATTCACGGGAACGTGGGAAGACCGAATACAAAGTTTGCCCTTCCAAAATCTACTCCTATCGTCTGTTTTTGTCCATTCCAGATGGATTCCCACCCACCTCTAGCTAATGATGGCACCCCCCCCCCCCCAGAATCTATTTCTGCTTGGAACATTCTCAAGATATACCCATTGACTGCTGCTTGGGGTGCTATGAAACTCTGGCTACCGTCACTTCTGAAATGAGTTCTCTGCTTTTTTTTAGCTGTGGGAAGAGGATTTCACAGTTGACAATTACAAAGCAGAGCCCTTTTGTATCAAGGAAATGGCTCTAATTCTGCAGATAGAATCCTGATCTGTTAAGCTATTTCTGCGGCCAGGCAAAGGAGAGATGGATTTTATTTTTATCTTCATCCGTTGTCAGGGCAAAGCTGGGGTGCCCAAATGTGTTTCTCAATGTGATCGCCTGATACTCTCGCCCATGGTTTACTAATCCAGCCCAATCTTCCCTCCGTATAATGGTCACGCGGAACCACGAATTAGATCACCCAAGCGGGATCCACCAGTCTCTTAGCTAAAATATACCCGTGGCAAACCAAGCCACCGAGAAAGGCAGAACTTCAATATGGAGAGGAACCTTAAGACAGAAGCTTAAGAGCAAGAAGGCTCATCCCCCCCCCAAACCACACTCTCATTCGCACCCTCTCGTGCCCATCCATGCCACGGTTTCAAAGATGCTGACTGCCTTCTGACTGCGATTCAGTGGGTCATATGTATTACCTTAAATGCCTTCCCCGGGCAAGATCTATCCGATCTACCGTGACCGTTTGCATTGCCTTTTTGATCTAACTTTCTCTCAACCAAAGAGGAGAAGAAAAAAAAGAAGGGGGAGGGTGGGTAAATGGCAGGCTTTGTTTCCAAGCAAGAAGCAACCTCTCTCCAACCCCCCCCCCCGCTGTTATTCTGCATAGCAAAGTGCAATGCCTTGCTTTTTTTTCTCTCTCTCTCTCAAATGGCTGCCTATCCTATCCAGAAGAAGGATGGGGCTGGTTAAATGTGGAAGCAACCACCACCACCACCACCACCACCCCTCTTGCCAAGGCTTATTAGACCTCTACCTCTTCCCTCCCTGCCTGTTTTCCCTCCGGCTGACTCTGCCTTGGCAGCCAAATTGGTGCCACCTTGTCTTTGGGGGTGAAGCCCTGCCTCCCACGCCATGAACAAAATAGGGTTACTCACATCTCCAGCACCCTTCATGCCATCTGAGAGAGAGAGAGAGAGAGAGAGAGAGAGAGAGAGAGAGAGAGAGAGAGAGAGAGAGAGAGAGAAGGGGAGGAAAGGAGGATCCGGTGCCAAGTGCTGGAGTCTACCAGTCTCTCTCCAAGCCTCCAGCAAGGTTGGTGGGCAGCAGTTCTCTCTCTCCCCCCCCCTCCTTCTCTTCATGGAACGAATAGATCTCCAGCTTGAATCCTGTACCCGAGGAATGTACCAACTGCCATGGTGAGGGGGGGAGGAGGAGGTTGCTAGACAGGAGGGGGAGGGGTCAGGCAAAGCAAACCATCTCCCCATCATGGGCAGGGGACTTTTTTTTTTTACGGCCTCCCTAGACTAGAGTTTCCATCCTGAGGAGCAGCTCCCGTATTATTTTGGTTGGGCGGAGGGTGGTTTAGGCTGGGGAGGAAGGGGGTCTTACAAGTGGTTTATATGGGTCTCTGGGGAGGGGGGAGATCCAGAGGAGAGGAGAAAGAGAGAGGCTGCTGGCTATTTTTCCACCTTTGGGATGAGGTGGAGAGCAGATGCTCAGAAGAAATCCTGAGCTTTCTGCAGTCTACGCCCTCCGGGGACGTGCAGGCTCCAGCTTCTGAAGCTGTTGTTGCTTCCTACATTTTGTCCAGATGTGCTAGGCTGGGGTTGTCCAACCTTGACAGCTTTAAGATTTGTGGACTTCAGCTCCCAGAATTCCCCAGCCAGCCATGCTGGCTGGGGAATTCTGGGAACTGAAGTCCAACAAGTCTTAAAACTGCCCAGGTTGGACACCCCTGTGCTAGACGTACGATTTGCAAAGTACCGGAGACAGTGTCACAAACCCAGAGGAACCCATGATTAGAGATCCAGGTGAGCAAAATGGGCTTAATGTTCCAGGTAGAAGGAAAGGTTTGATAGGGTTAGCCTACCCCTAGCTAATCTGCAGAATGCCAGAGCAGCAGGAGGTGGCGCTAAGGAGAGATGGAAACATGTCCCTCTCTTCTGCCCTCTCATGGCCAGTCGGATTTTGGCAGCCCAAAGATTAACCACAAGGGGGAAAAAACTGCAAAATTCTGGAATGTTCAATTTTATTTTATTTTTTTTAAAGACTAAAATAAAGAATTAAACCTATACCACAATATATAAAAGGGTTAAAATTTTAGTTTTACTTAACTGGTAAATGACTATAATCCTAGACTGCTGTATGATAGTTATTAAGATATTAAAATAATGTAATAATGGTTTAAATGTTAGATTGTTTACAAAGGTCTTCTAGATGGACCTAATAAAAATCAGATTATTGTGCACGCAAACTAAGATGTAATAAAAATCAAGTTGCTGTACACATGGCTAGGTTAGTGCCTAGAAGAGTGTTTGTCAACCTCTGCAACTTTAAGGTATTACCCTTCTCTCACTTTCAATGTTCTCATGATTTCAAGGAAACAGTATTTTAAAACTACAATAATATTTTAAAACCTGAACAATTTTTCGAAAGGTTTTGCACCATAACATTTCCCTTCTATTACCAGGAGATGGCGCTGTGAGGCCAGGGATTAATTTTCTTTAATTCTGAGGGCAATGAAAAGGAATCCAACTGCAGATAAAACTCTTTGGATATGTGTAGGAATTAGTTCCGTCAGTAGATGCCACCAACTAAAATATATTTTGTACCTATTTCATTCCTTCCACCCTTGAGAGGTTTCTTGAGAGTAAAAACAAGTGAAGACTTTAGGAATATGTAAATGCCTTTTTGTCTTCCTTGGCTGCACAAAGTAGATATACCCTTTAAAAGAATGCAGCGTTACTAGTCCTCAGGGCTCTAAGTCAACTTCTGTATTCTTTTGAGAGCTTGTTCTCAATCGTATGCACTTCAAAAGAGATTTTCCTGCCTCCTGACCCCAACTGCAAACTTTCTAGGACAACAGCAAAAACTACAAGGATAAGCTGGGTTTATTTTGGCCAGGATTCCGCTTATTCCTTTATCCTAAGAAAGAGTAGGCCAGGCCAAGTTTTTTTAAAAAGAGATGCTTATATTAATGTGTTTGTGTGTGTATCCATGCACATACACAGACACGTATATGTATGTGTATGTGTATACGCATACATATACATGCATAAATTAAGAATACAAGTAAAAATACGACTCTTGGGAATATCCATTTGTTAAAACAATGATCACCAAGAGAATACTTAAATAAAATTTAATAAATCAACCTAGCTTTCGTCAAAATACATATGACATCATCATATATACAGGTAGTCCTCAATTTACAACAGTTCGTTTAGTGACTGTTGGAAGTTACAATAGCACTGAAAAAAGCGACTTATGGCCAATTGTCACATTTATGACTGTTGTGGCATGGTTATACACACATACAGAGAGAGAGAGAGAGAGAGAGAGAGAGAGAGGGAGAGAGAGAGAGAGAAAGAGAAGAGAGAATATTCTTTATTGGCCAAGCATGATTGGACACACAAAGAATATATACTCGTATAGATATATATACAGAGAGAGAGAGAATATTCTTTATTGGCCAAGTGTGATTGGATACACAAGGAATAGATACTCGTATAGATACATACACACACACACATACATATGTGTGTGTGTGTATATATATATATATATATATATAT